GGGTCAAAATTGGCCCCGCCCGGGGGTCATTGATTTTCACTATATATACATATAGTAAAAACTTAAAATACCTTCTTGTAAAGACCCAAAAGGCCTAGAGCTTAGATATTTTGCATAAGGCATTGTCTGGTAGACCCTTACCAAGATTGTTCAAATTATAGCCCTGGGGTCAAAATCTGCCCCGCCCCGGGGGTCATTGATTTTCACTATATGTACATATAGTAAAAACTTAAAATACCTTCTTGTAAAGACCCAAAAGGCCTAGAGCTTAGATATTTTGCATAAGGCATTTTGTGGCAAAATCGGCCCCGCCCCCGGGGTCATAGGTTTTCCTTATATGTATATAGTAAAACTTATAGTAAAAACTTCTAACAATTGACAAATGCTAGAGGTTAGATATTTTGCATGAAACATTGTGAAGTGAACTTCTAGCAAGATTATTCAAATTATAGCCCTGGGGTCAAAATTTCCCCCGCCCCGGGGGTCATTGATTTTCAATATATACATAATATAGTAAAAAATAAAAAAATCTTATTGTCTGAAGGTTCAAGTCTTAGAGCTTTAATATTTGTTAAATGATATCATCTATAGGTACTCTACCAAAGTTGTTCAAATTTTGCCTCTAGTGTCAAAATTAGCCACGCCCCGGGGGCCATAGGTTGTCCTTTTATGTATATAGTAAAAACTTAAAAAATCATCTTCTTTAAATTTACAAAGGCTAGAGTTAAGATATTTTGCATGAAACATTATGTAGTGAACCTCTAGCAAGATTGTACAAATTATAGCTCTGGGGTCAAAATTGGCCCCACCCCCAGGGGTCATTGATTTTCACTATGTACATAATTATAGTAAAAAAATTTAAAATCTTCTGAAGGTACAAGGCTTAAAGCTTTGATATTTGGTATATAATATCATCTATGGGTCCTTTACTAAAGTTGTTTTAATTATACCCTGCCCCAGAGGCGATAGTTTTCCTTATATGTATAAAGTAAAAACTTGAAAAATCTTCTTCTCTGAATTGAAAAATCTTCTTCTCTGAATTGACAAAGGCTAGAGGTTAAATATATGGCATGAGACTTTGCGAAGTGAACCTTTACCAAGATAGTACAAATTATAGCCCTTGGGTCAAAATTGGTTCCGCCCAGGGGGTCATTGATTTTCATTATGTACATATAGTAAAAAAATAAAAAATATTTTTGTCTGAAGGTACAAGGCATAGAGCTTTGATGTTTGCTATATAATATCATCTATAGGTCCTCTACCAAAGTTGTTCAAATTTTACCCCTTGTGTCGAAATTGGCCCTGCCCGGGGGCAGTGATTCTCATTATGTACACATAGTATAAACAGAAAATGAAACAAATGTTTTCTGAATGGGAGAAAGCTACAGCTTAGATATTTGACTTGAAATGTTGTTTGGTGGACCTGTATCAAGATTATTTTGAATTAAGCCCTTGGGTCCAAAATTTTGCCTTGCCCAAGGGGACAGTGACCTACTTTCTTGTCCTTTGATGTACAGCAATGAAATTTTGACCATGTGCACAGTTTTAGTTGTAAAATTGAACTTTGATATCAGGTGACCTAGATTTTGATGATGTGACCTACTTTCTTGTCCTTTGATGTACAGCTATGAAATTTGAACCATGTGCACAGATTAAGATGTAAAGTGAACTTTGATTTCAGCTGACCTAGATTTTGACAAAGTGTCTTACTGTAATGTCCTTTGATGTAGTCATGAAATTTCGGCTGTGTGAAATATGACCTTCACCACCAAATTCACTAAACTCGAGTGCATTGATATATTCCTACTCTGATCTTTTATTGAGTTAACAACATATTTAACCACTAATCTGATAATAAGAATTAGATAGGTCAGGGATCTATGCATTATGACAATCTTCAAAATTGTATAGAAACAAAAAAAATCTGTTCTTACACTACTATTTAGTGTTGTATTAATGCGGTGGCATAGCATTTTTCTCAAATGCAATCTTGTTTTTAGAATTGCGTGTGAACATTTTCAGAATTGCGTGTTTCTATTTATAGAATTGCTTGTTTCTATTTATAGAATTGCGTGTTTCTGTTTATAGAAATTGCGTGTTTCTATTTTTAGAATTGCGTGTTACTATTTTTAGAATTGCTTGTTTCTACTTTTAAAATTGCGTGTTACTAGTTTTAGAATTGCGTGTTACTATTTTTAGAAATGCATGTTACTATTGATAGAATTGCGTGTTACTATTTATAGAATTGCCTGTTTCTATTTCTAGAATTGCGTGTTACTATTTATAGAAATTGCATGTTACTATTTTTATGCCCCCGCCATGTAATGGCCGGGGCATATAGTGTTACCTTGTTCCGTCCTTCCATACTTCCGTCCTTCCATCCTTCCGTCATTCTGTCATTCCGTCATCATCAGTTTCCGTTCATTATCTTAAGAACGGTTGCACACATTCAACTCAAATTTAACATATGGATATGTCATGAGAAAATACAGGTCAAGTTCGAATTTGGTCATGGTTCGATGATTTTTGGCAGAGTTATGCCCCTTTTACTTTGAAAATAATATGAAATTTCAGTTTCCGTTCATTATCTCCCCAACGGTAAAACACATTCAACTCAAACTTGACATATGGATATGTCATAAGAAAATACAGGTCAAGTTCGAATTTGGTCATGGTTTGATGATTTTTGGCAGAGTTATGCCCCTTTTACTTTGAAAATAATATGAAATTTTCAGTTTCCGTTCATTATCTCCCCAACGGTACAACACATTCAACTCAAACTTGACATATAGATATGTTATATGAAAATACAGGTCAAGTTTGAATTTGGTCATGGTTCGATGATTTTTGGCAGAGTTATGCCCCTTTTACTTTGAAAACAATATGAAATTTTCAGTTTCTGTTCATTATCTCCCCAAAGGTACAACACATTCAACTCAAACTTGACATATGGATGCGTCAAAGGAATGCGCAGGTCAAGTTCAAATTTGGTCATGGTTTAATGATTTTTGGCAGAGTAATGCCCCTTTCACTTTGAAAGTAATATGAAATTTTCAGTTTCCATATAATTATATCCCCAATGGTACAACACATTTAACTCAACTTTGACATATGGATATGTTTTTGGAATGCCCAGGCCAAGTTCGAATTTGACCATGGTTCAATGATTTTTGGCAGAGTAATGCCCCTTTCACTTTGAAAATAATATGAAATTTACAGTTTCTGTTCATTATCTACCCAACAATGTTACATATTCAACTTAAATTTGATATATGGATATGTCAAAGGAATGGGCAGGTCAAGTTGGAATTTGGTCATGGTTTGATGATTTTTTGGCACAGTTATGTCCCTTTCACTTTGAAAATAATATAGATACATCTTAGGAATAAGCAGTTTAAGTTTGAATTTGGTCATGGTTCAATGATTTTAGACAAACTTATCTTTCCTGAATGTTGGAAAAATTTTGAACTTTCAGTTTCAACACTCATACTTTTAGCCGTATTTTGGCTACAAATATGCAATATGCTATTTTTAAGGTTAAGACTGAATAATTTCAGTGCCTTGAACATTGCATGAAAATGGTTTGTGTTAACATTGAAAAGTTTTAAGGGCTTTGAACTTAAAATGAAAAAAATAATTAATGCACCATCTGAAATTTTGGCTGCATGCGGGGGCATCCGTGGCATGATGACACATTTCTAGTTAGAATTGCGTGTTTCTATTTATAGAATTGCATGTTTCTATTTTTAGAATTGCGTGTTTCTATTTAAAGAATTGCGTGTTACTATTTTTAGAATTGTGTGTTTCTATCTATAGAATTGCGTGTTTCTATCTTTAGAATTGGGTGTTACTATTTATAGAATTGCGTGTTTCTATTTTTAGAATTGCGTGTTACTATTTTTAGAATTGCTTGTTTCTTTTAATAGAATTGCGTGTTACTTTTTTTAGGATTGTGTGTTACTATTTTTAGAATTGTGTGTTTCTATTTATAGAATTGCGTGTTTCTATTATTAGAATTGCGTGTTCTATTTATAGAATTGCATGTTACTATTTTTAGAATTGCGTGTTTCTATTCATAGAATTGCGTGTTGGTATTTATAGAATTGCGTTTCTATTTACAGAATTGCGTGTTACTATTTATAGAATTGCGTGTTACTATTTATAGAATTGCGTGTTACTATTTATAGAATTGCGTGTTTCTATTTATAGAATTGAATGTTTCTATTTATAGAATTACGTCTTTCTATTTATTGAATTGCTTGTTTCTATTTATTGAATTGCGTGTTTCTATTTATAGAATTGCGTGTTTCTATTCATATATATATATATATACAAAATAGATAAACAAAACTAATGTGACAAGACAGACCAACTAAATTTATAAAAAGGAAACGTTAAGATATGTTCAAACCTTTCTATGTTTGCGTTTAGAAAAAGTAAAAAGTCAAACGTTGCCCCCGCCCGCGAGGCTCTTGTCTACTGAAATAATTGATAGATGATCACCAAACTTTGTAGCATTTTTAGGTAGTTTTTTATCAAGTTTGCTCATATTAATTTGATTAGCCCCGTTTAAGCTAAAGTTTAAATGCTCCAGGTCATGGCATTTCTTCAAATTATTGTTTAAACATATTCTATGCTCAAATTTAATATTAGAATATATTGACATTCCAACACTGAAAAGCAGTTGTTTCTGGTGAGCAACTCAGGGCCATCATGGCCCTCTTATTATTATATGTGATCATTAAACATTGAACTAATTATGCCATAATGATTTTTTAACAGGAAATAAATATTATGATATTTGCATTCCTAAGTTATCTTTTACATGTTTTAATTCTAATAGTCTATTGGGGTAACAAAACAATTACTAGGTCACTATTTGCCTGGGATGTAATAGTTTGCCATCAATGTGTTATTGAGTTTGTTTATGGTTATATATAGCTGAGTCACCAATAAGTGATGCCTTATCAGGTTAATGTTACACTATATTATAATTTTAGAATGGCAGAAAGAGTTGATAGCGTCATACTGTAAGAATTTGCTAAAAGTACCAGCAATGCCTTTACTACCACGAGGTCAGCAATGTAACTTCAGTGAGATTTATATAAGGCCTAGTATAACAAGAGAAATAAAAGAAGAGAAAGGGGAGACAAAGGAGATTGAGGTCAAGTCAATGTCAGAAATCTTCATAAAGAATGGTGTGCCTTTGAAACATATATATCTTCTTGGAGATGCAGGGTCTGGTAAGAGTAGTTTCTGTAAATATATGGTCGACTGTTGGTGTATTGCACACAGTGATGCACAAAAAGTGCAAGATGAGTTTGAAGGAGTCAAGGAAATGAAGAAATTTGATTTAATGTTTTATATCTCCCTTAGACATTATCAAGACATAGACAGTGTCCAGGATATGATTAAAAATCGGTATGATATTGACATTTCAAGCCCATTTCTCGAAAAGGACTCTGCAGAGATTATAATATTGCTTGATGGCTTAGATGAATGGTCTTATGAAAGAAAGTCCTACAATCACTTTCAGACAATGGGTCTCCCAAAACAGGATGTTAATAAAGACTACACAATCATAACTACATCACGGCCATGGAAAGTTCACACCTTAGGAATAAGTGAGACAGAAATTGAACAATTACTGAATCTGAAAGGGTTTGATTTGAGATGTGAAAGGGAACTGATAGATAGAACAGTCTCACAATTAAATTCCAGCAGGCATGCTAGTAAAGATGCCAGTGTTTTAGAACAAAAGCTAAAAGAAAAGTCTCTGAAAAGTTTAAAACAGCTACCAATAATGCAACAACAACTGATATGTCTATCGTTTGATGGTAAACTTGATAAAACCTCAAGATGTGCCATCTACACTGGTATGTTAGAACTTTTCTTCACCTGGAATGACATGAGAACCACAGAAACAAGTACTCAACTCCTGAAGTGTGCTCAGAAAGTAGATCTTCCTAAATATCTAGCAGATAAAAACATATTAAAATTAAACAGCCATCTCATTTGTGATGTGTCACAGTTGGCTTATGAGACACTATTTAATTGTCCGAAGGATAATTCTTTGACATTTGATATTTGTATGTTTGATGAACTAGACATATCAGATAAAGTAAGAGACAAGTGCTTGAAACTTGGAATAATTACAGAAGATGAACGTCCAGGTTTATCTGTAGCAGAACCACCAAGGTCATTGTTCTCTTTCATTCACAAATCAATGCAAGAATTTCTGGCTGCAGTGAATATTTGTATCAGGTTCAATGCAAAAATTGGTTTGTCAGATAATACAGGAAATGTTGAATTAGCCAAGAAGTTTAATAATGAGGTTTTTCAGAAATGTTCAACAGTAAATGACATATTAGAGCAATCAAATGTCGTAATTATGCTATGTGGTCTTGAACCTAGACTAGCAACACATGTGTCAAAATACATATATGATATGGTGTCAGAAGACTCTCGTGTTCAGGAATACAGGAGAAAAATGAATAGTGACATTTATATGTATCATCATTGTATAACTGATATTCAAAAGCTTATGTTTGATTCAATGGAAGAATTAAATGCAACATGCAGTGTAGAAAGTCGTCCTGTATTTTATATAGGAGATTTGGTCATTAATATAATGAATCAATGTTGTGATAGTGTTTGTACAAGCATTGATCAGAAACAAATTGCTACTGACTCTGTTCTGTCTATTAATGTAGATGATTTCCACACAAAAAATGTTAAATTTACAAAATATTTACCAATGTTTCATCATCTTGAAACAATTACAATAAGTTATGGATATGAATCACAAAGTTTATTCAGTACACAAAGTGATGAACAGAGGATTAATGATATTAACAATTGTGTTTCTGAGACATTTAAAGGAAATACTTTAACATTAAAATCTCTGTCTCTTGATGGTGTCTCTTATACTGACAAGTATTACCCATTGTATAAAACAGTTGTAAGCTATCTACCTAGTTTGATCAATCTTGTAGCAATAAGTACAACTTATATAGCAATGAGGCATGATGATACCACTACATTTTATAATTTTCTTGAGAGAACAAGTCATCTTGAGCAAATACATCTTGAGTCTGTTTATTGTGAGTGTAGGAAGCAGCATGATGTAAATTTATCAAAACATAAACAACTTCAGTATCTTAATGTGAATAATGATGTAAGTGTGATAGATGCTGATACTACAAACCTTGAAATATTTAGATTTCATGAATTGAAAGATACTAATTATGAGAAAATGTTTGATATTATTAGAAAATCTTACAAATTAAAAGAACTTGAATTGTATGGAGATTATGGCAATAAATCTCAATTATATCATACCAACATAACAGAGAGACTTGTCAAAGTATTACCATTGTTACACAATCTCAGTAAGCTTCAGTTACATACATGTAGGTTAACTGACAATATCATACAGCTACCTTTAGTGATGAAGAGTTTAAAGAACATTAAGCTTTTTTTTGTCACAATGAGTTTGACAACATGGCAGAAGTTTGTTAATAGTCTTCCTGGTATTCCTCGTACTGTGGTTGTGAGTGTAAAGCACTGTTATATGACAGGAGATGGTGAGGAGTTTTATGATGATTGGATTCAAAGATGTAGAGGAGGGAAGATAAATGATGCTATACAGTATTTAAAAGACCTGGATCATTTATTTCATGTGAAAGGTAAATATGATTTTTCTGGACTTTTATTGTTACGGTCATGGTTTGTTGCCATTGCCATCCTCAAACTTTAAGCTTGATAATTATTATGCTCCCGTAAAATATCGGGGGAGCATACAGTAGCCGGGTTGTCGGTTCGTCCGTACAAACCCAGAGGTACTTGTGTGACTTGGAGAACAATGGGTAACAGTGAATTTTCTTTGATCCTATTCATTCCGTTTTTACTTGTGTGTCTTTTTTATGCCTCCGAAGGGAGGCATAATATAATCACACCGTCTGTCCGTCCGTCCGTCCATCTGTCCCACTTCATTTGTGTCCAGACTGTAACTGACATACATTGAGGGATTTTGAAATAACTTTGCACAAATGCAGGCTGTCCAGCGTCCCTAAAATTCCTAAAAAATCCTAATTTTTTTCAGTTTGGCTAAAATTCCTAAAAAAATGAAAAATTCAAAGGGAATTCCTAAAAAAGCCCTATTTTTTCACTTAAATTCCTATTTTGTTTCATCTTTTGTGATAAACATATCGCGAAACAACCATGTTTCAATCACAACTTAAATTCGAACATAGTCAGTGGAGCTGATGTCATGTCTGACTAAATTGCATAAAGTCACATGTTGTATTTACTTCAACTCCTGCAGAAACTTGATTAATTACCAGATGTTATCAGAAAAATAATAAGAAACTGTTTGTTTTAAATAGAACAATGAAAATTGTTTAAAATTGTGATAAAAATTTTTCCAAGGAAGTTACATTTTATTGGCTACAGTCTCAGTTTTACCATTTACCTCAGTCTTGGGTGTATTTAAAGCAACTGTTTACATTATGAACCACTAAATTTCATCAAACTTTATGTAGGGGTCCTTATTAATAAAATCTTAATTTGTAATCAAGTTATTTTCAAGTGATGACTGTAGAACAGATCTTTGGTAATTGATACCAGCTTGCAGATCTAGACAAGTTTCCATTGCTAATTATAAAGTGGGTAAGGTAAACTGGCAGTAATGATTGGATGCTAAGTATTAACCATGTTGCTTCCAAATTAGGGTACTAAGAAGTGAGATATTCAGCTGTCCGTTTTGTACACATTAACATGTACTGAACATATGTTATAACATATAGTGCAAGTTTTTTTTTATGCCACCGCAGCATCTGCGATGCGGTGGCATATAGCGATTCACCTGTGTGTGTGTGTGTGTGTTTGTTTGTGTGTGTGTGTGTTATATAGATTATATAGTGAACTTAAAAAATCTTCTTGTGAAAAACCACTTGTCCAATTTCAACCAAACTTGGCAGGATTGATCCTTGGGTGAAGGGCTTCCAAAGTTGTTCAAAGAATTTCATTCCATGCAGAAATCTGGTTGCCATGGCAACCAAAAGGAATTATAAGAATAAATTTAAAAAATCTTCTTGTAAAGACCCAGAAGGCCTAGAGCTTAGATATTTTGCATAAGGCATTGTCTGGTAGACCTCTACCAAGATTGTTCAAATTATAGCCCTGGGGTCAAAATCGGCCCCACCCTGGGGGTCATTGATTTTCACTATATGTACATATAGTAAAAACTTAAAATACCTTCTTGTAAAGACCCAAAAAGCCCAGAGCTTAGATATTTTGCATAAGGCATTGTCTTGTAGACCCTTACCAAGAGTGTTCAAATTATAGCCCTGGGGTCAAAATCGGCCCCTTCCGGGGGGGTCATTGAATTTCACTATATGTACATATAGTAAAAACTTAAAATACCTTCTTGTAAAGACCCAAAAGGCCTAGAGCTTAGATAATTTGCATAACGCATTGTGTAGTGAACCTCTAGCAAGATTGTTCAAATTATAGCTTTGGGGTCAAAATCGGCCCGCCCCTGGGGTCATTGGTTTTCTTTATATGTATATTGTAAAAACTTATAGTAAAAACTTTAAAAACATTTCTTCTAGCAATTGACAATGCTAGAGGTTAGATATTTTGCATGAAACATTGTGTAGTGAACCTCTAGCAAGATTGTTCAAATTATAGCCCTGGGGTCAAAATTGGCCCCATCCCCAGGGGTCGTTGATTTTCACTATGTACATATAGTAAAAAATTAAAAAATCTTCTTGTCTGAAGGTACAAGGCTTAGAGCTTTGATATTTGGTATATAATATCATCTATGGGTCCTCTACTAAAGTTGTTTTAATTATGCCCCTAGTGAAAAAATTGCCCTGCCCTAGAGGCGATAGTTTTCCTTATATGTATAAAGTAAAAACTTGAAAAACCTTCTTCTCTGAATTGACAAAGGCTAGAGGTTAAATTTATGGCATGAGACTTTGGGAAGTGAACCTCTACTAAGATTGTTCAAATTATAGCCCTGGGGTCAAAATTGGGTCCGCCCCGGGTTCATTGATTTTCATAATGTACATGTAGTAAAAAAAAAAAATAATAAAAGCTATTTTTGTCTGAAGGTACAAGGCATAGAGCTTTGATGTTTGCTATATAATATCATCTGTAGGTCCTCTACCAAAGTTGTTCAAATTTTTCCCCTGGTGTCAAAATCGGCCCTGCCTGGGGGCAGTCATTTTCATTAAGAACACATAATAAAAACAGAAAATAAAACAAATGTTTTCTGAATGGGAGAAAGCTACAGCTTAGATATTTGACTTGAAATGTTGTTAAGTGGACCTGTATCAAGATTGTTTTGAATTAAACCCTTGGGTCAAAATTTTGCCTTGCCCACAGGGACAGTGACCTACTTTCTTGTCCTTTGATGTACAGCAATGAAATTTTGACCATGTGCACAGTTTTAGTTGTAAAATTGAACTTTGATATCAAGTGACCTAGATTTTGATGATGTTACCTACTTTCTTGTCCTTTGATGTACAGCTATGAAATTTGAACCATGTGCACAGATTAAGATGTAAAGTGAACTTTGATATCAGCTGACCTAGATTTTGACAAAGTGTCTTACTGTGTTGTCCTTTGATGTAGTCATGAAATTTAGGCTGTCGTCTGCTTATCTTTCTGCAAGGGAATGCTAGCAGTTTATAGTAATACGTTGGTTTTGCATTGGTACCGGCTCATCCAGACAATAATATACGAGGTTAATAAAAGACCCGTTCTTCAACAGTATTTGTTCCTACACTTCTATTTAGTGTTGTATTAATGCGGTGGCATAGCATTTTCTCAAATGCAATCTTGTTTAAATCTGGAAAAAAACTGTTGAAAATCATTCAAAACACTGACACTGTTGTGAAATTTCTACAATTTTAGTAGCCTGATTTTTTATCTTGAACAAATTCTTCATAGGTGTATACCCTGCTGTTTGAATTTAAGTTTTAATATTCCTGGGAATGATTTGAGTGGGTCATACTGCTTTTATTGTTTTTTAAATAAGATCAAGACTTGTTGAAAAATGTACCAACCTTAAAATGAATAAATGTTGATAATAAATGCATTTATAGCTAAAATAAATCTAAAGCATAATTTCCCCTTCCATTTATTATTGGCTAATCATAGCTTAACTAATTGAATATTGGATGTTCCGGGATACTTATAACTTTGAAAATGTTTTCATTCTAGTTATGTATTAATGTAGTTTTTCAGCTCTTTTTAAAGGCAGTTAACCAGTGAATCCATTTCTTCACTGGTGACTATGGAACACTGGTAACACCTTTGCTATAACCAAACTAGAGCATTATTTGTGAGTTACTTTTGTGTCAAATATCCAAAGTTGAGCCCATACCATGGTCTTTGAGGCCATAATTTAGTTATGAAATTCCAAATTTTAGCCCTAAAATTTCTTTTATTTACCCTAAAATTCCTAATTTTAGCCCTAAATTTTTTTAAAAATTGCCCTAAAATTTGCCCTAATTTTTTGTCAGAAGGTGCTGGACAGCCTGCAAATGTCTACCACATCAAGACAATGTGTCACGTCCAAGAACCATGTCTCTACCTCAAAGGTCAAGGTCACACTTTCATTTTGAAGTTTCCCATTATCGCAATTAGAGTAAATATGTACACACATTCGTGTCCAGACTGTAACTTTGTCATGCATGGAATGGTTTTAAAATAACTAGACATAAATGTCTACCACATCAAAACGATGTGTTGCGTTCAAGAATTACGTCTACCTCAAAGGTCACGGTCACACTAACATTTTGAAGTTTTGCTAGAAATAGAAAAATGGGTAAAATGGTTTCTGGAAAATGTAATAGTTATTGTTAGACAAGTGAAACATCATACATTATATTTAATGTTTAAATTTTGTTTCAGACCACAGTTCAGGCCACTTTTCTTTCATAAATATACAAGAGAAATGTTCTGAATGGGATAGATGCATCACAAGTGGAAGTGAATCAGCTGCAAAAATTTTAATAGAAAAAGAAATTTTACCATCTCAAAGAGAGTTGCACAATGCTTGTCGTGTTTTTGGAGTGGATTCACACATACTTTCTGAAATATGCACTGTGATAAGCAAACATATCAGAAAAAAATCAAAAAATGTCATTGATGTAAGGCCATCCTATCGAAATGATCATGTTCTTTCAAGTAGCTATGTCTCTATTGTTTTTATAGTAGTGGTTAAGAAAAATCCCAGATATTTAGTATCCAAAGATAATTATGAATGCTACATAAAGCATGAAAATGACTACAGTTCTGAAGGAGAAATTGTAGCTGTTAAAGAAATGGAATCTGATACTAGTGACATTCAATCTTCTGATGCTGTTCTGGAAAATATTAGAAAATGTGTCAACAAGAATGCTGATGATCTTCTTCAAAAACATAGTAATCTTAATGTGATTTTACCAAGTTTGATGAAGTCAGTAGGTTATACGTCAGGCAAACATGACATTAAGATTAAACCTTGCATAGCTCTCTATGTTTCAGTAAAGGGATATATACCTCTAAATGAGACACCATTTGAAAAGGAAATTGATGGATTCCCAACAGATGTTTTGGAAGGAGAGTTTGAACCATTTATAGGAGGACCAAATCAATACCACGAACATCTTAAGATGGGTGTTGCAATACATGCCAATGTTTTAATTGGAGATACAATCTTAGGGGGGACTCTTGGAGGATTTATAAACCATTCAGTGCATGGATTATGTGGAATAACAAGTGCACATGTTGTTTATGATAGTGCTGAATTAGCAAGGGTGAAAAATGCTCAAGAATTAAGTGTAGTAAAGACAGTTTATCAGCCTGTAAATGAATGCATGTCAGCATTTGGTGAAGTTGTTCTGGCTGTTTATAATGAAGGAAGTGAGTCTGAATCTGGAATGGAAGTTGCTCTTATAAGCATAAAAAATAGGCAACCAAAGGATGGAAGTTTTCCTGAAGCATCCAATTATAAGGAAGCAGGTGAGCATATTTTAATTATCCCTGGACAATTAATCAGAAAAAGTTTTATAAAATGATGTTCTGGTCTCTTATTATACCCCAACCACAAAATGTGGGGGGGGGGGCTATAATGGATTTGCTTTGTCACGTCTGTCCGTCTCCATTATCGTGTCCGCTCTATAAATCCTATACCAATTGAATGATTTTCTTCAAACTATGCTCAAATGTTAACCTTAACAAGAGGATGTGCAAAACCCATTTTGCCCATGTGTCAGCTCAAAATCAAGGTCATAGTTGAAGGTCAAATATCAAACAATCAAATATTAGACAGTATGTCGTGTCCGCTCTGTAAGTCCTACACTAATCGAAAGATTTTCTTCAATCTTGGCTCAAATGTTCACCTTTATGCAGAACCCATCTTACCCTTTTGCAGGCTTAAGGTCAAGGTCACACTTGAAGGTCAAAAATTGACTTAGAAAATATTCTTAAATTTTAACATGTATTTGAATATTTCTGAAACTAGAGAAGGTATTTGCTTGAAACTTAAAATATATCTGGGGTCAAAATTGACCCCCGCCCGGGAGGGGGGGGGGATCATTGATTTTGCTTATTTGTATATATTAAAAACTTAAAAAAACTTCTTTAAAAAAACCCAAATAGCTAGAGCTTAGCTATTAAGCATGAAGCATCTTATAGTGGGTGTCTACCAAGTTTGTTTAAATAAAAGCCCTGGGGTCAAAATGGCCCCGCCCCAGGGGTTCATTGTTTTTCCCTTTATGTATATAGTAAAAACTTAAAAAATCTTCTTTTAAAAAACCTTTAAAGCGAGAGCTAAGATATTTAGCATGAAACATCTTCTAATTGGTGTTTACCATTTTTGTTTAAATAAGAGCACTGGGGTTAAAATTGGCCCCGCCATGAGGATCATTGATTTTCCTTATATGTATATAGTAAAAACTTGAAAAATCTTTCGTTTAAAAAAAAAAAAACCAAAGAGCTAGAGCTTGAATTTTCTTCTAGTGAGTGTCTACCAAGTTTGTTAAAATGAAAGCCCTGGGGACAAAAATGGCCCGCCAAGAGGGAGGGTCAGTGTTTTTCCATTTATGTGTATAGTAAAAACTTTAAAAATTTCTTAGAGCTAGAGCTTAGATATTTATCATGAAACATCTTCAAATGGGTGTCTACCATGTTTGTTCAAATAAAAGCACTGGGTTGAAATTTGCCCCGTCCCTGGTGCCTATATACAGGTGAGTGATTTCAGGGCCATCATCCTCTTGTTTACAGTTATAGCCCTTTGTTTATTTGACACTTTGAACTTTGTCAGGGACATAACTCAAAATGTAAAAGAGATATCAACTTCAAATTTTGTAGGTAGATTGATCTCATTGAGTAGAAGTGCAGTGAGTAGTAATGAAGTGCAAAAGAACTGTAACTCTGCCTTGCCTCTTTTTAGCTCACCTGAGCACTTTTGTGATCACAATTTGTTCATCGTCAGTCAGTGGGTACAAACCCAGAGGTACTTGTGTGACTTGGAGAACAATGGGTAACAGTAAATTCTCTTTGATCCTATTCATTCCGTTTTTACTTGTGTGTCTTTTTTTAAGCCTTGTGTGACTTAAAATGGCTAAAAAGATCAAAGGAAAAGTCACATTAATACCATTTTGTAAGTACGTACGTCCGTGAGTCAGTGTGTCCATTGTCAATTTTTTATACAAACAACTTCTTCTCAGAAACCACTGGGCCAAATGTGATGAAATTTTGCTGGGATGTTCCTGGCATGAAGCTCTACTAAAATTGTTCAAATGATTCTGCTCAATTGAACATCATGGTCAGTAGGGCTTAAAATAGATTTTTGAAATGAAATCTTTAAAAATTATCTCCTGAAAGTACATGGCCTAGAGCTTAGATATTTTGTATGTTACATCATCTACTGAAATTTACAAAAATTGTTCAAATTATAGCCCTGGGTGTAAAATTGTCCCCCCCCCCCCACCCCGGGGTCTTTGATTTTCATTATATACATTCAGTAAAAATTAAGAAATCTTTTTGTATAAAAATGAAAGAGCTAGAGCTTAGATATTTGGCAGGAAACATCTTCTAGTGGATGTCTACCAAGTTTGTTAAGAAAAAAGCCCCGGGGTCAAAATAGGCCACCCCCCAGGGGGTCATTGATTTTCCTTTTAATGGTATATAGTTAAACTAAAAAAAATCTTTTTGTGAAAATCCAAAACCAATAGAGCTTCGATATTTTGTATGACACATCATCTAAAAAAAACTCTGTAAAAAAATGTTCAAATTTTAGCACTGGAGTCAAACTTGGCCCTGCCCCTGGGGTCTTTGATTTTCATTATATACATATATACATATAGTAAGAAATTAAGAAATCTTTTTGTAAAAAAAACCCGAAGAGCTAGAGCTTAAAATCTTTCAAATAAAAGCCCTAGGGTTAAAATATTGCCCCACCCTAGTGGTCATTGATTTTCCTTGTATGTATATAGTGAAAACGTAAAAAGAAAACCTTCTTGTAAAAAAACGAAAGAGCTAGAGCTTAGATATTAAGCATGGAACATCTTCTAGTAGATGTCCTCCAAGTTTGTTCAATAAAAGGCCTAGGATGAAAATTTGTCTCGCCCTGTGGGTCATTGATTTTTCTAATGTATATAGTAAAATCTTAAAAAATCTTCTTGTAAAAAACCGAAAGAGCTAGCTATATAACAGGGTCTTTGATTTTTGGCTGGGTTGCACATGATTGTGCAAACCAGGGTTATAGTATCGTGAATGAAGAAAGGTGGGCGGGTTTGGGGAAAATTTTTCCTAACTGTATTCCCAGCAACTACTTATCACAGCCTCTTGATATTATGCATACAGCATTGGCACATGGTCCCATTCTGTGGAATTCAATTTCAGGTCTGTCACTCCTCCACTTCCTGTTTACCGACTTAGTTAAATTTTCAACATTAATGGTGAATGGTAAGAAATTTTTGTATCACTTTTTTTAGCAACTACTTATCACAGCCTTGTGATATTTGATGTATGGCATTAACAAGTGGTCCCATAAGAGGAATTTTATTTCAGGTCTGTCGCTCATCCATTTCCTGTTTACCGACATAGTTAAATTTTTGACATTATTAATGGTCAATGATATGAAATTTTCATAACAGTTTTCTCAGCAACTACTGATCACAGTCTCTTGATATTTTGCATACAGCATTAACAAGTGGTCCCATACTATGGGAATTGATTTCAGATCTGTTGCTCATCCACTTCCTGTTTACCCACCTAGTTAATTTTTAAATTGGTCAATGGTAATTTTTTTGGTAACATCACAGCCTCATTATATCTGGTGTACAAATGCAACGCGGCCCTTTTTGTCTTTGACCCATTTTTTAAGCTCGACTTTTTTTTTTTGAAAAGGAAAGTAGAGGTATTGTTATAGTCAGGTCGGCGTTGCCGTTGCCGATGCCGTTGCTGTCCGAAAACTTGTACCTGGATCATAACTTTTTTATTTCTTGGTGTATTGTCTTCATACTTGGCCACAACAATCCTTGGGACAAGACCTTTCAGTAGACCACACTAACCTTGACCTTCATCCATAAATGACCTTGACCTTCAAGGTTAAAAGTCCAATTTTTGCTTGTTCATGCTGTTATTGGCTGTAACTTTGTTATTTTTGAATGGATTGTCTTCAAACTTGAACATAATAATCTTCAAGGATATCCCTTAAAAATAACCAGTCAGACCTTGACCTTCACTCATCAATGACCTTGACTTTGAAGGTCAAATTATTGAAATTTTCATTTTTTTGGCTATTATTGGCTGTAACTTTGTTATTTTTGAATGGATTGTCTTCAAACTTGAACATAATAATCTTCAAAGATAACTGTTAAAATATACCGAAAGACCTCGACCTTAACTCATTAATGACATTGTCTTTGAAGGTCAAATTATTGAAATTTTCATTGTTTTGTTGGTAACTGACTGTAACTTTGCTATTTTTGAAGGGATAAACTTCATATTATAACAGAACATTCTTAAGGACCAAAACTTGTTGTTTATCAAACCCAAATTTGCTTGGGGTCTTTAATGACCTTGACCTTGAAGGTTATATTACTGAATTTTCTCAGATTGTGCATTTATTGGTGTGTGTGTATGTATAGTATATGTATTATATATATATATATATATAAATGTGTGTGTGTGTGTATATATATATATATAAATATATATATATATATATATTATATCAAATAGATACATATAATATATATATATATATATAAATATATATATATACATGTGTATATATATATATATATACACATGTATATATATATATATTGTATATATATAAATTGCGTCATTTTTTTCTATTTTTAGAAATTGCATCATTTTTCTATTTTTAGAAATTGCGTCATTGTTGCTATTTTTAGAAATTGCGTCATTTTTTTCTATATTTAGAAATTGCGTCATTTTTTTCTATTTTTAGAAATTGCGTCATTTTTTTCTATTTTTAGAAATTGCGTCATTGTTTCTATTTTTAGAAATTGCGTCATTGTTGCTATTTTTAGAAATTGTTGCTTTTTTAGAAATTGCCTCATTTTTTCTATTTTTAGAAATTGTGTCATTTTTTTCTATTTTTAGAAATTGCCTCATTGTTTCTATTTTTAGAAATTGCGTCATTGTTGCTATTTTTAGAAATTGTTGCTATTTTTAGAAATTGCGTCATTTTTTCTATTTTTAGGAAATTGCTTCATTGTTGCTATTTTTAGAAATTGCGTCATTTTTTCTATTTTTAGAAATTGCGTCATTTTTTTCTATTTTTAGATTCTATTTTTAGAAATTGCGTCATTTTTTCTATTTTTAGAAATTGCGTCATTTTTTCTATTTTTAGAAATTGCATCATTGTTGCTATTTTTAGAAATTGTTGCTATTTTTAGAAATTGCGTCATTTTTTCTATTTTTAGAAATTGCATCATTGTTGCTATTTTTAGAAATTGCGTCATTGTTGCTATTTTGAGAAA